GACAATCCAAATCGGGGTGAGGAGCAGAGGGAGAAAGCAAAATCAGGGAAGAAAAGAGGAGACAAAGGGAGGAGGAAGGGACTTCCACGCCCCAGCAATAGCTAGGGACTGCGGCTCTGGATTTTGGCAAGATTAGAGACACACACAGCAGTAAGAATGGACTCTCAGAGAGAGAGAGAGAGAGAGAGAGAAAATTAGCCTTATGTCTGATTTCTCACCTCACCAATATTAGAACACAGACGATTTAAATTATCATGCAATATAAATACAGACCAGTATTGCACCAACAATTATGGTTACTTCCCTCGCACGTAGCAGTCATTCAGAGAGAGATGGTCATCCACGGCCACGCACTGTCTCTCGATCCGAACACGCCGATCTCACTTAATCAAAAAGATTAAGGCCATAACTCCAATTAATTAACTCTCTTTAATCCTCATTTTAATCTAACTAGTTTCCCCTACCAACCATGTCGTCCCTCGACTCCTTTCCCAACGCCGACGAATCCCACGACCCCCACCGCCCAGCCCTTCGACGACGATGCCTACATGGGCTACGACCCCGGCCTCCCTTCCCAAAATTACGACTCCTCCTTCAACACCGCTACCCACGACGACGACGACTTCTCCTCCTCCGCCGTCGACCCTCCCCCTCCTCTCCACTCTGGTTTCCAGGACGACGTCGTTCTCCCCGGTGGTGACAACAGCGCCAACGTTAATCAGCAGCAGCACTCCCCCGAGTATACGGCTTCGGCGTTTCCACTCCTAACCCGGAATTCGTGTCACCTTTTGATTCGGCGGTGCCCGAGGACAATGGCGTAGGGCGTGGCGGCGATGGTGATGACGGGGACATTTTCGCCTCTAGTGAGCCGGTGCTGCCTCCGCCGGAGGAGATGCGAGAGGAAGGCTTTGCTCGCCGTGAGTGGCGCGTCGGTGAGCTCAGATCCTAATTTGTTGGCTTGAATTCATACTATTTACTTGCAAAACTTCTGCTAATTATGGACACGATGAAATTAACTATTTGATTAGGTTGTATTTTAAAATGTGTTTAAAGATTTAATAATGTTGTGCAATGTGCATGCATGGGATTCAGGGGCTTAATAACATCTAGTTTAATTTGATTTCTGTATCTGTGATTCTGTGCTCATTACCTTTTGTTCTTAGTTTGGGTCTGAATTAATGACGTTGGGATTTGTCCTTGTGTTTGATAATTGGGTTATGCCTGTAAACCGCATTTACTGTGTCTGAGTATTTGTGGTGTAAATTTGAAATGGGGAGAGAGGACGTGCTCGTACGGTTCAAAGAGGTGATGATCAACTCGTGATTGTTGGGAACTTTAAACTGAGCTTTTATCTTGACTGAATCCTTGCATAAGTTGTTGAATTTTTTCGTAAGCTGATTCCGATCGTTGCTATGGGAATGAATGCAAGTCACAGACCGCCATAACTAAGATGTAATTTGATTTCTGTGCAGCTGTTACCTGGCCAACCAAGAGAAGTTCCACAAAAGAAGCTGACAAACATTACTGGAAGCAATCGCAGAGCTGATCCTCGCGGGGTTCCTAATTTGAGAAAAAGAGGGGAAGAAAGATCCTGACAAGAAGCCCTCAATCGTTGTCATCCAGGCCCAAAACCTGGTAACCGACTGATTTTTTCAAGATGCGGCAGATTCCTGAGCTGAACAGACCTCCACCACACATGATGCCGTGCAAAGATGTAAGATGCAAAGGAGGAAATGATGCAAATGATGGTAAAGGATGAAAGAGGAAATGATTGCAAGTGGAAGGAGGAAAAGAGCAAAGGAAGCAAAGAAGGAAAGGATGCGCAAGAATGGAAAAAACTTTAATCACCAACCCAGCTGGGCTGCAGGTTGCAAGCGCACCTGTTTCACCTGCCAAAGACCGATGTACATGCTCCTCTCTTCCTAGCATGATGCGTTTTAGGTAGTGAGGTTCTCTTGCCCAGGAACAAATCCGTGAGGGTCTGACCCAAAACGGATAATATCATGCTATGGTTGAGTTGGGATGTGACAATAAGATATGGTTAGAAGAATTAGTTGTGGTATTTAAATAAAATACTTCTTATTTTAAAGACTATAACTAATTATTATAACCGTATTTATTATGTGCATTAGCCATATTTTGTTATTATCTGTTTATTTATGTTGGACATATTTTTAAGCATTGCTGCTGCCTGCGTCATGTGTTACAACAATTGACGTCCAACTTGTATTATAGCGTAGTGGCATAGAAGTCTTCTAAGAGAAGATTCGTTATGCATGGATGATGAAGTTCAATTTGTAAATTATATAATGTGTTATTAATTAAAAATTAAATTATCAATAATCACGTCATATAATTTATCAAATTTAATTTTAAAAAGTGATTCATTTAAAAAAAATAAAAAATAAAAAATTTAAAAATCAATTTTCCCAACATTACCTATTAATAAAAGCCAATCATATACCTTTTTCCTTTTCATGTTATACATGTGATGGATACATGTGATGGAGCGCATGCATTTGGGGGAACTCAAGAGTCAAGATTGTGCTTCCATTAGACGATTCTCAAAGATAGTGACAAATGTTTTTTTTTTTTTTTTAGAAAAACAAATGGTCTTTTTATAAATTATTGCCAATGCGTGTACTGCATGTCAATTTTAATATCAACGTCTGTTGATAAATTATTGCAAATATGTGTACTGCCTGTCAATAATATCAATTGATCAAGTACGGTTGTTTTTTTAACAAACGATATTATTTATGCTAATGAAAAAAAGGTAGATTAAGCCTCATAATGAGTTAGTAATAATGTGGTTCAAATTCACTTTTGGCGAAAATCAAACCTAGAATCTCTCACTTACAAGTGAAAAGGAATATCACTAGACCGTAGTACTAAGTGGCTGAAGTACGGTTGTTTAATCAATCAATTATAACATAGTTATAGACAATTCATGATTTGTTTATTGAATTCGTCCTATTTTTGTATAGTTCGATAACTAAAACGCTCTCATATTTAAAGAGTACAAGCTACACTTACCATATTTTTCATACTACATTTGTACTATCTTTTTAATAAAAGTATGGTTCATCAACATATATGAGTCTCATTTTTATTAGAGAGATAGTACAAATGTAGTAAGAGTAGCATTTTTTATATTTTCAATATATATTTTTTTTTGCAAAAATAATCTTTACAAATTAATTTATAATATGAATAATTTCAATTATAAACAAAAAAAAATTTGTAAATCCATCGTATAGTGAATTGTTGAGGAGCCAAGCTAATTCTGACAATCATACACTCGTGTTTCAGGTAAATACTTGGTGCCAAGGAAAGGTCCGACAGTCTGGTATTCTGGACCCTTTTCTTATTGGCATTCTCTATAGCACACTTGAGTTAGAATGTAGACATTTGTGACAGGTACTAGGATTTTCTCTCCTCCTATTTGAATGGTCACGGTTAAGCCATATCAACATCTTATATTAATTTTTTATAGAAGGAGAAAGACAAAATAGAAAATGTGAGAGGAGGGGATGGAAATGGATGGAAAGAGGAAGGGAGAGAATCCTAGCCCTTGGCACTTCTCCTACTAACTTGAGCACACATAACTTTTTTTTTTTTGATGTAGTGTTACACTTATCATCTATTTATACTAGCAATCGGCACACACGCTATACGTGTGCAACTCAATTTTTTTTTGTTGTGGTATGAGTTATCAATGTGCAATGTATACGTCATTCTGAAGAAAAAAAAATCTTTTCACTGTGGTATGAGTTACATGAACTTATGAAAACAATTACTAACATTAGTGAAATAAAACCAAACTTATGAGTTAGGCAATACTTTCAGAATTTTATAATAATTTGTAAAGATATTATAGCATGAAAACACTAAAATCATCACTAACTTCAGTACATCTCCCAAAAGTTGTATAATGTGGAACTATACTTGGATGAAAACAAGCCATGTAACAAAGTAAAAACCATCGAATGCAATAAAATAAGTAATTGAGGAGTGATAAATCATGATTAATATATGTATTTCAACGACACATCAAACATATTGCAAGGGAGTTTTAATGCTTAAAAATTTCTTCCTCCAACCTCGCATAAGATGCAGAAACTAAATAATGAGGCTCATACCTTCAGAACATTGGATGCCCATTCATGGTGGGAGGGGCTCCAGTCTAGGATTCATGGGTCAAAGAGGCAGGGGGCGATGAAAGAGGGGTCATGGGGGAAAACACAGAGGATGTCGGAGAAGTTGTTGGGTGGTGGGTCTGGCAGAGGGCTATTAGGGTTGGACCGTTGGAGGAGAGGAAGAGCCTACATAATTTGCAAGTGGGTTAGAGGCAGGCGGGGTGGGAGAAAGGGGGTAACGGAGGTGGGGTGGTTAGAGCGGTTGAGGAGGATTTTGGCAAGAAAGATGTAAAGAGAAGCTGAAGAGAGTTGATGAGAGAGATGAATGTGTGTGCCAATTTTTTAATTTAATTTTTGAATTTTTAAATAGAATATGTTACTATTACCTAGTTGTGAGGTTCCAAAAAAAAAAAAAGTAAAATTTGTAGTTTTGAAATTACTAAATTGCCCATATTTTTTTTTTGTTTTAATTTTAATTAGAGGGTTAGAGTAGTAATTTCATAGAGATTTGGTTGATAATGAAAGTTCTATTAGTATAGTAGAGATATTTGTACTATGTAGGGCTCACTAATACATGCGAGTCATATATTTATTAGAGATGTAGTACAAATAAATAAAAAAATTCATTCAACTCTTATACTTATTATAAGATATATCTATATACATCTATTATAATAAGTATATAACCGGTCCGTCGGGATTTGATCGATCCTTCTTTTCTTCTGTTGCAGCGGTGCCTGCTTTCAAGACAACATTTTTGTATTTTTTTTTAGAATTACTAATTATTAATTGGTGCATACAGATGGGTAAATACAGCGCCTATATATATAAAAGGGTAGCTTAGCACTTAGCAACCAACAATCTATAAGAATCATTCTCTTAACTAACAACATTCTTACTCTTCGAATGGAGACTCAATTATTATTGTTGTTATTACTGAGTGCTCTTGCTCTCATCATTTATGCATTCAAATCTTCCAAAACCAACCTTCCACCGGGAAGTTTCGGATGGCCAATCATTGGCGAAACGATCGCCTTCATGAAAGAGCAGCAACAACACTTTGTGGGCGAAAGAATGAAAAAACACTCCACAAAGCTCTTTAAAACCAGCATATTCGGCGAGCGGATGGTTGTTTTATGCGGCACTGCCGGTCACAAGTTCATCGCCACCAACGAGGAAAAGCTTTTTCTTGCATGGCGACCACTATCCATGCAGAAGCTCTTCCGCTCTTCCTACCTAAAAGCCGCTGCCACAGCCATCGTACCGCAAGCAGACGTAATCCAAATCTACCGTGCCCCGGGCTTTTTGAAGCCCGAGGCTCTGGTGAAGTACATAGAAACTATGGACTCTTTGGTTCAAGAACATTTGAAGCTTCACTGGGAAGGCAAAACCACGGTTGAGGTATATAAACTTGCTCAGCTACTTGTCACGAGTTTGTCCGCTCGCTTCTTCACTGGACTGCATGACAATGAGCGCACGGAAAAGTATGCCCAGTTGATGGATGTTCTCACTTCAGGGCTGCATACTATTCACATCAACATTCCCGGAACCACGTTTCATCGAGCAATGAAGGCGGCGAAGGCATTGAGGAAGGAGGTTTTGTTGTTGATTGAGGAGAAGAAAGCGGCTGCTGCCAGTGGAGTCCAAACGCACGACATCTTGTCTTTCATGCTATTTAACCCGGACCCCACTGGAAGGTTCTCATCGGAGAATGAAGTTGCTGATAAATTTATGGGTTCGATGGTGGCTGCGTTTCACTCACCTTCCATGGTTACAGGTTTCCTCTTCAAATATCTTGGAGAAAGACCTGAAATATGTGACAAAGTTCGTACAGGTAATTAATTAAAATTGATAGAGATCTTCTTTAAATTGGAAATTGGTATATATATTAATTGCATGATGAAAATTTTTGTTCTTGTTCTAGAACAATTGGAGATCGCAAGTTCAAAAAAGTCTGGCGAGGCACTGATCTGGGAAGATATACACAAGATGAAATATTCCTGGGGTGTGGCACTTGAAGTTATGAGGCTGGTACCACCTCTCCAAGGAACATTTAGGGAGGTTGCTACTGAATTCACGTATGAAGGTTACACAATTCCAAAAGGGTGGAAGGTATTTAACAATCAGTTAATTAGTAATATAATTACAGTCTAGTTACTTCACCATTTAATTTGTGTGTCTTAATTAGTTTGTGTTGATTACCCTTTTTTAGGTGTTTTGGTCGGCAAGCAGCACGAATAAAATCCCTGAATACTTTCCGGATCCGGAAGAGTTTGATCCGACTAGGTTTGAGAATGGAAAAACTCCTCCGACTTACTCTAACATCCCATTTGGCAGCGGCCCTCGAATTTGCCCGGGAAAAGAATATGCTAGACTCCAACTTATGTGCTCCCTTCATCACATTGTCACAAAATACAAGTGGGAAGTAATAAATCCAAACAGCAAGATTGCAGGTGGTTTGAATCCAGTTCCAGAAGAAGGCATTCACATTCGCATCCAACCATATTTGCCCCAACAGTAAACTATTTGGACGCACAAAATTAGACGCACTTCCTAATAGAGTGGAACCTGTCATTGTATGTGGATCTCACCTGAATTAGAAAGTGAGTCGATCAGTGTGTTAGTATTATATGTCCAATTATCACCATCCTTCGTCTAATGTTAGTGCATCAGTAATAATACATGCTTTCATGTTTGTTTATGCTTACAATTCATTCGATCTCAGATCTCTAACTTTCGTTTTTTTTTAATCAATAAATATTGTACGCTAATAGGGATGGAGAACAGTATTGTACGCTAATTGGTATGAAGGAGGGTTTGAAGTTTGAACTCAAGGCATAGTAAATTAAAAAACAAGCCCTAATCATAAAGACAATCCACCACTTATAATTTCATTTCTTTTAAAGTCCAATGCAAGGCAAGTATTTTATATTAATCCTTTCCATAGCTATTCTATGCTAATATTATGATAATAAAGACTTGCCATCCGATTTTAAAATATCAACCATGTCCTATTTTCTTTTTTCTTACGCTTATTTGTCATAAATCACATTTACGGAGGATGAAAAAGTTGCAATGTTAATGAATTGCACTTCTAATCCGCTTTATCTAACATTCTGTAATCAAATTACTAGTTTAATTACCAGCTTAGCTTCAATTTCTTGCACAACCTATACAGACAAAAACACATATATTTCATAGAACTCCACTAGTTTTGAATCATTTTAAGGAAAGGCAAAAGCTCAAATACCAAAAAACCTAGCCCAAAAACAAGCAAACCAAAATTTTAGATTTTCAGTCATACGGAATCCGTAAAAAATCATTTGAATCAGAAATCCTTTAGTCATCCAAATATCAAACAAATCAATGACTCATCATGATGAATATGTTACTTGCTACTTACACAGTTGATTTATTTTGATACATTTGTATGATTAAACGGTATCCGATTCGGATGATTTTTTTGTAGAGATAATCCTCAAATAGAAACTAAGAAAATAATGATTCCAATTATAAAGTTTTTATGATGAAAATACATTATTTGCAAATGAAAAAAAAAAGAGCTCATCTCCAAATATGAAATACAAGAACTAGCAAAGGTTGAAAATTGAAGGAATAAATTATATATCAATATTTCACAAACAACAACTACCATAGCTTGGAAATTAAAAGAATAAATTATGAAACTATTTTATTATATTTCAACGGTTCATTTTTAATACAACAATATTCTACTATAAACATAAGGGGATGGCAATTAGGAGCTTAAACAATAGAAAGAGCCGATCATAACGAGGTATCAAATTTACATATGCTCCCAATTCAGTTTGTAACCATATTGTTGGAAAAATTTTAGTAGATATATCATTCTACATTGTCTTACATTGGTCACTACTAAAATGTTCCTTCACTTTATAAGGCTTTGTCCTTATTAGCAAGTGATTGGAGTGATGGATCATAGAGAATAAAATTGGACTCAACATATACTAAACTCCGACTTATGTGTTTGCCTCCATCACATTGTCATAAAATACAAGTGGGAAGTAATAAATCCAAACAGCAAGATTGCAGGTGGTCTGAATCCAGTTCCAGAAGAAGGCATTCACATTTTTGCCCCAACGGTAAAACTATTTTAGACGCACAAAATTAGATGCAATTGTAGACGCACTACCTAATAGAAGCAGAGCCCATATTAGAAAGTGAGTCAACAAGTGTGTTAATTTTGTGTATCCAAATATCATCAGCTTTAGTAATGTTAGTGCATCTGTGGCACTACGACGTTTACGTACTAGTTCCTTCCAATCTTCCAACCATCCAGGATTTGATGAGATGCGTTGATAAATAATCACAAGAGCACGACGTCGTCAAGACGGTTTGAAATGCTTGTAGTTCAGCGCCCTCTCTCCCTCTTTTGTACCGAAACAATATTGTAATTAAACCTGCTCTCATGGTTGTTTATGCTTGCAATTCATTCGATCTCAAATCTCTAACTTTCGTTTTTTTTTTTTTTAATCAAGGAATATTGTATGCTAATAGGGAGGGAGAGCAATATTCTACGTTAATAGGGATGAAGGAAGGTTTGAAGTTTGAACCGAATACGCAGTGGGTTAGAAAACAAATCCTAACCACAAAGGCAATACACCCCTTACTATTTTATTTTCTTTAAATGCCAATGCAAGGCAAATATTTATATTAATCCTCTCCATAGGTATTCTTTAAAATATCAACCATGTCTTATTTTCTTTTTCTTACGCTTATTTGCCATAAATCACATTTACAGGATGAAATACTAATCTCACATCATGATAACCTGTGTCATGCCAAATCAATATCCAAATAACATAACAAATTAAAACACATTTCTCGATTGCCACTTAGTACTACGGTCTAATGGTAATCCTCTTCATTTATAAGTGAGAGGTCTTAGGTTTGATTATCACCAAAATCAAATTTGAATCATATTATTACTAGCCCATTGTGAGGCTAAATCAACCCCCCTTAATGTAGATAATATTGCTTGTTAAAAATAAAAATAAAAACACGATCCTCGATTGCTTTAGGAAAAAAAAAAACAAAAAAAGAAGAAAGAAGAGGTGAGAGACTTCCAAATTTCAAGGGATTTAGGTTACAAGAGGAAGATGAAGAAATTGAGTACAAAGAAGACTGGAAAGTGCACTACAAAACCATACAAAGGCATATGTGGAGGATTTGTAAATGACTCATCCCAATTAGTAATTTGCAAATCCTTTTAAGGGCCACATGCTTTTGTAATGCCAATGAATTGCATTTCTAATCCGCTTTATCTAACATTTTGTAATCACTTAATTACTAGTTGAGCTTCAATCCCTCGCACAGTGTATGTATAGAGATAAAAACACATACATTTAATAGAATTTCACTAGTTTTGAATCATTTTTAAGGGGAGACAAAAGTGCAAACACCAATAAACCTAGCCAAAACAAGCAAACCAAAATTTTAGAATTTCGGTCATACACCAATAGACTTGTTACTTAACCAAACCAAAACTATAAACTAACACCATCTATAAAAACTTCAAACTGATTTTAGATTCGTAAAAAAATCATTCGAATCAAATATTCTTTAGTCATCCAAATATATCAAACAAATCAACAACTCATTATGAATATGTTACTTGTTACCTACACGGTTGATTTTCTTATGATGCATTTGAATGTTTAAACGGTATTCGATTCGGATGATTTTTTTTTTGTAGAGATGATCCTCAAATAGAAACTAAGAGAATATTGATTCCACTTATGAAGTTTTTAAGGTGAAAATACTTTATTTACATATAAAAGAATGAGATCATCCCCCAAAAAAAAAAATACAAGAACGATCAAAGGTTGAAAATCGAAGGAATAAATTATATATCATATTCAACAAACAAAAGCTACCATAGGTTGGAAATTAAAAGAATAAATTATGAAACCATTGTATTATATTTCAATGGTTCTTATTCAATACAACAATATTCTACTATAAATATAAGGGGATGGCAATTAGGAGCTTAAACAATAGAAAAAGCCGATCATAATTAAGTATTAAAGTTACACATTATTTATTTGAGTCAAACTTGAAACTTTTTCAAGAAATACAACTTGACCATAATTTTAATAATTTTTTTATTAGTTTGAATTATAAAAACAATTGGATTTGTTTCTAAATGAACGACGCCATACTGTACAGAAGCTGCAAGAGAAATAATTGGCAATCGAGCTTATCAAACTTTATTTACACTTGAATATTAATATAAAATAGTAACATCACTTTCACCATATTGTAATAATATTATATTTTCCTTCAATACGGATAAAAAATATTAACATTCATTTCCAACCACGAAAAAACAGATAACTTCAAAATATGACTACTTTCTAAAGGAATATACTTTAGCTCAGTAACCTCTATCTACTTCAATAGCAGTATGGTCTTTATACAGTTTTACATACACCCGCATGCAATAAACAATAGCACACGCATGCAATAAATAACTACAATAAAGTGATTGTCTAGTTGTGAGATCATGCAATATTCTTCTGCCCATCTTCATCAGCATCTTCGACAGGACTTCATGGGTTTCATTTAGAATAGTCATTTCATCATGTCAGCAGCACATGGCTTATCAGCACATGGCTTCATCATGTCAGCAGCACATGGCTTATCACGGCCCCTCAAGCTGAGTGGGCAGGAACGGACAGGAAGCTTGGAAACCAAAAACAAAAACCGGAGAAATGACAAGCCTTTTGTGAGAAGATCAGCTAGTTGATCAGTGGAGGCAACATAACCGACAACAATTTCTTTTCGAGTGACTTTTTCCCGCACATAATGGTAATCAACCTCGACATGTCGCATCCGAGCTTGATAGACTGGATTAGAGGCAACAGCGATAGCACTGATATTATCACACCAGAGACGTGGAGGAAGAAGATGAAGATGAAGATCACGAAAAATGTTTCGGAACCAAGAGAGAGTGGCAGAGGTGTAAGCAAGCTGACGGTATTCGGCCTCTGTGCTAGAGTGAGAGACTCCTCTTTGTTTCTTGGAACTCCACGAAATGAGATTACTACCAAGGAAAATACAGTAACCTCCAGTGGATCGTCGATCATCTGGATCCCCCGCGTAATCAGCATCAGCATACGCAGTGAGAGTGAGGGAACTAGCAGTGTAGACAAAGGCATGATCATGTGTTGCTTTTAAGTATCGAAGAATACGTTTAACAGCAGCCCAATGTGTGATTGTCGGTGAATGCATATATTGGCAAACTTGGTTAACCGCGAAAGCAATGTCAGGACGTGTGAAGAGAAGGTACTAAAGAGCACCAACAACACTTCTAAATTCAGTGGCATCTGAAAGAGGTTCCCCTTCATGAAGACTAAGACGACGACCGGCAGTAGCATGTGTTGAAGTTGGCTTGCAGTCGGTCATCTTGGTGCGACGGAGGAGATCCACAATGTATTTGGATTGAGAAAGGTACATGCCAGTAGGTGTACGAGTGACTTCCATGCAAAGGAAAAATTTAAGGGGCCCAAGATCTTTCATAGAGAATAATAGGCCAAGCTGAGCAATGAGACGTGAAATGTGAGCTGCATCATTCCCAGTGACTAAAATGTCATCTACATAAATCAAAAGATAAATAATAGTGGCACCATTGAAATATGTAAACAGGGAGGAGTCGGCAGTGGAAGCAAGGAAACCTAAGTCCTCCAAGTGATGAGAAAAACACTGAAACCATGCCCGGGGTGCTTGTTTAAGGCCGTATAAAGAACGACGAAGCTTGCAAACATGAGTAGGATATTGAGGGTCCACAAAGCCTGATGGTTGTCTCATAAAAACGTCTTCAGCCAGTGTGCCATGGAGAAAGGCATTTTGGACGTCAAGTTGACGAATAGGCCAGTGAAAGTGAAGAGCAACGGACAGTATGAGGCGAATGGTGGCATGAGTCACAACTGGACTAAAAGTTTCCCCATAATCAAGACCTTCCTGTTGATGAAACCCATTGGCAACAAGACGTGCTTTGAACCATTCAATGGAACCATCAGACTTACGCTTGATGTGATACACCCATTTGTTTGGAACAACATTGAAATGGGGCTAACAGGGAACAAGTGTCCAAGTACCTGTGCGTTGGAGTGCATTAAACTCCTCTGCCATTGCTCGCCGACCATACTGCTATTGAAGTAGATAGAGGTTACTGAGTTAAAGTATATTCCTTTATCAAACTCATACTACACCCAACAATTGTAGAAACGTTATTAAACTCAAATTTTCCAAGTTAAAAAAAAAAAAAAATTGGGTGTTTTGAGGTTGTCGTTAGACTGGGCTCTGATACCATAAAGGAATATACTTTAGCTCAGTAACCTCTATCTACTTCAATAGCAGTATGGTCTTTATACAGTTTTACATACACCCGCATGCAATAAACAATAGCACATGCATGCAATAAATAACTACAATAAAGTGATTGTCTAGTTGTGAGATCATGCAATATTCTTCTGCCCATCTTCATCAGCATCTTCGACAGGACTTCATGGGTTTTATTTAGAATAGTCATTTCATCATGTCAGCAGCACATGGCTTATCACTTTCAACCACAAAAAAACAGATAACTTCAAAATATGACTAATACGATTAGAATAATTTTTTGGAAAGAAGTGCGATAATTTTATTGAATGAATCCATTAGGTTGTTAGTCTTAATTGAGCACCACGCTTAGAGCATTTGGAGATTCCTCAAACTAAAAACAAGAATCATTACGAAATAAACTTAACTTGGCTAGGCAATGAACCACAACATTACAATAACAAAGAACATACGAAATTGAAGACTCAACAAACTCAGCCATCAACTCCCTGATATCAGAGGCAATAAAACCAAGACTTGAGTAATCAACCACTCCTCCTTTGCAGTCTTCAACCGAGTCCGTTTCAACCGAGACCGTTTCAAACTAGACCAAACTAATTATTCTAATCATATTTTATTGTGTAAATTAGTCATATTTTGTTATTACCTGTCATTTTTTTTTGTTGGACATATGTTTAAGAATTGCTGCTGCATGCCGGCTAAGTTAGCCAGGTTGTCATCAATTTATACCATGGAATAATTAATTCTTCTTCTCCTTCTTCAATCTCAATGGTTGTGGAAAATGCATCTCATGTACATGTACTACTTTTAGGCCCCTGTTTGGCATATCGTATAGGGCACCAGATGGTACTAATAATACGGTGTATGGTGTTTGGTACCGTTTGGATTAAATAGGCACCGGATTAAATAATCCGGGCCCACGTTTTTTATCTGGCGTTTACCTGACTGCTTATACCATCCAAATTCACGGTATAATTTAGTCGGCCTCGCTCTCCTTCCTCTCCGCTCGCTCTCCGCTCGAACTCGACCCCCTCTCTCGCCCTCTCTCTCACCTTCTCGAACTCGACCCCCTCTCTCTTGCCCTCTCTCTCGCCTTCTCGAACTCGACCCCCTCTCTCTCGCCTTCTCTAACTCGACCACAAGACGGTGTAGCTCGGGTTCTTCAGGTTGCGGGACTTGCGCTGGAAGACGACGGCGTCTTCAGAGCGGATGGAGCAACGCCAGGAGGAGGAGGAGAGGCGGTGGTGGGGGAGGAAGTTGGAGGTCGCAGAGCGGATCTCGGAGAGGTCGTAGATTTGGGGGTTTTGAGGAATGGAGGATTTAAAGGATTTGAGGGAGGCGACGGAGAAGGAGGTGGAGGATTTGGAGAAGTTGTAGCTGGAGTTGTCAATGGTGGTGCTGAAAATGGCGGAGCAGACGAAGAAGAAGAATGGAGAGAGGGAGGGATTTGGGGGTTGCAGCAAAGAGATCTGGGAAAAGAGATGATTTCTGTTTTTTTTTTTTTTTTATTTTAAGTTTGATTCTCCTATCCGATATAATACCAAGTACAGTATAAATAATACAGTAAATAGTTCGATACTGCACCAAACGCCTGACTAATTTAGTCAATACTATCCGGTGACTATTTATCATGTCCGACATAAATAGTCAGTACAGTCCGACCTGTCAAACGAGGCCTTATGTTGTACAAGAATTATAGGTTAGGGTTATGTTGATTTAACTCGAGCATCTCATGTACTATTTTTATTTTCATATTAAAGAGCAATATTTCTCTGAGAACGTAAGCAAGATTTTGCTGAACCTCATAAATATGTCGCTGTCTTTATTTCTTGTTTATTTTATTCTACTCAACTGTAGTTGGTCTTGGGGTGTGATTGTTATCTTAATCTCAGTTCCGCACGTCTAAAAGCACAACAAAAGTTATGTCTTAGGACTAAGATTCTCTCACCTCCTCTTTCCATCCCCTTTCATCCCCTCCTCTCACATTCTCTATTTTGTCTTTCTCTTTCTATAAAAAAATTAATATAAGATGTTGACGTGGCTTAACCGTGACCGTTCAAATAGGAGGGGAGGGAATGGGAGGGAAAAAAATAGGGGAGAGAATCCTACTCCATTGTGGTCTTATAGCTAGCTTCAGATATATTAGAGTAAATTGTAGCAATGGTCTCTCAACTTTAATCAAATTGGAGCAATGGTTCATCAACTAAAAATCCATTACCATTGGTCCCTCAACTTATTAAAATGTGTAGCTATAGTCTTTTTCATCAATTTCGTCAAAATTTTGTCAAAATAAGTTATGTTAGAATAACCATTTATATAATTAGGGTCCCTCAACTCATTAAAGTGTGTAATTATGGTCCTTTTCGTCAACTACGTCAAATTTTTGTTGAAACGAGTTATGTTGGAATGATCATTGCTACAATTGGGTTAAAGTTAAAGGACCATTTATCCACTTGAATTAAAGTTGAGGGACCAATGGTAATGGATTTTTAGTTGAGGGATCATAGTTGCACATTTTGATGAGTTGAGTGACCAATGGTAATGAATTTTTAGTCGAGGGACCATTGCTCCAATTGAATTAATGTTAAGAGACCATAGCTACAATTTACTCGATGTATTATATTTATAATGTATTGTTGGCAAGCGTGGAAGAAAAAATTACTCATGAAGAAATCGTTTGATCTACGAGCACCTTAAACGTGAGAAGTACAGAATTTTAAATCAGTAAGTGCTAGAGATGGTTTTGCCCATAATTATTTTTTTTTTTTTTTTTTTTTTTTTTTTTTTTTTTCTCTCATATTGTGCTTTCAATACTATCAATATATCATTCTTCATACATGTATTTGAAGGCCTTACCCTTCAAGTACCATTAGAATATGCCTTCACTAATCTCGATTCTCAAACTAGATAACAAGCTTAGCACCATTGCACATGGCAGTTATGCAGTAGTTATAGAAACATTCAGACTATTGTAATCAACATTCATACCAATTCATCTAGGATTTGATACCCCAATGACAAATTACATCAATCAAAACCGATACCAACCTTGTATAATCTATTAAATTAGAGCCAATTCTCTTTGGGCATCTTCTTCTCCACAAGAGCATTTTCATATTCATACATCATGACTAAATTAGGGAGGAAAGTGCTCAACATCCATTGAAGGACCACCAGCTTGTTCTATTCTCATTCCTCGAAGTAAGCTCTTTGCTGTTTCCTTTTCTGGGCCAGTATAATCTAGAAGACGGGTACAGTAGATCTCTGATTCTTCAAATCTTTTCTGCTGCCTATAGTATTGAGCAAGATATAACAGGGTTTCTACCATATTTGGTCCTTCCCTGTCTTCGGCTTCCATCCTCTCCAAATCCTTCTTGTAGTAATAAGCTGCCTCTTCAGAACGTCCAAGTTCAGAATTTAGCTTTGCTAGTTGGTGCAGGGCAATTGCTTCCCTGTCATTACAATTAACTGCCCTTTTGTAACACTTCATCGCTTCCTCAGTCATGTGCAGCTGTTCAGTTTCATAACATTTGGCCATAGCAATCCACAACCGAGAATCATTTGGCTGCAAGAATACTGATTTCTTGAAGTAATAAAGAGCATACAAGGGCATACTCATCATCTCATAAGCTTGTCCTAATCCATACCAAGCTCGATAATCACATGGATTTATATCTACAGCATGTCGATATGCCTCAATAGCAGCTGGGGTGTTTTTCATCTCAACATATTCATGACCCATAAGGGTCCAAGCAGATAAATAGTTTCTGTTCAATTTGAGTGCCCTCCTAAAGTACACAACCGCCTTCTCATGCTGCCCTTTTAAGCTGTAGTAATTTCCGATAATACAACAAGATTCAGGCCTGTATTTATCAGTGATAAATACTCTATGGGCAAGATAACTTAGTGCAGAGTAGCACTCCTTTGCATATAGCACATTGGAATACATGTCCATGTCTTCCACTCGATAAGGGTCATTCCTGAGAAGTTCTTCAAAAATTGCTTCAACTTGTTCAAATTCCCTGAGATTGTATTGTGCCTTTGCAATTTGAGCCTGAATGTAATTACTGAAAACAAAAGTGCCCTTAAGATATTCATATTGTTTTAAGGATTCACTGTGCTTCCTCAGTTCTTGATAAGCACTGGCGAGAAAGAAGTCCTTCATCCAATGGTTATTGAGCTTAAGGCTGTTCAAGACATCAACTGTAGTGCACAACGACTGCAGCTCCGACCAGGCACTCCAGTTCCAAGGGTAGCTATTAACAGACTCCACAAGAACTGTAAGAGCAAGACTCTTGCTGCCTTTGTCTTTGAGCACAAGGCCATACAAGTAGAGTCCAAAAGGATCAATAGTCCCATTCTTGCGAAGGGTTGATAACTCCCTCTCGAGAGAAACCAGTTCACCATTCACAATATCGCTCTTTCCTAGGGGCCCCTCAAGTTCTATCATTTCTTCCTCTTTCCGTTTTTCTCCAGCCAGATAAAGAGCATAGGAGCGTAAGAAGACCGACTTCTTTCCGTTCTGATCACGAAGCACATGAGCAGCTCTTCTGTACTCCCTGCAGTCAAAATACGACTTAGCAAGGAGGTAGAAATCGCCGTCCACAATGTCATCTTCCTCCATCACCGGAGTGGACACATACGACACGCCGGCAGCCGGCGTCGAGGTGATGTCGTTGGTGCGGAATCTGCGCCGGATGCTGGAGCTCCCGCGCTGGAATCTCGTGTTCGCAGGCGTGAACTTTACCGGGTCTTGCTCGATGATGCCGACGAGCTGCTCTGCCGCCCATTTGGAAGCGGCGTAGGAAAGAAGTGATAGAACTTGAGATATTCATATTGTTTTAAGGTATTCATATTGTTTTAAGGATTCACTGTGCTTCCTCAGTTCTTGATAAGCACTGGCGAGAAAGAAGTCCTTCATCCAATGGTTATTGAGCTTAAGGCTGTTCAAGACATCAACTGTAGTGCACAACGACTGCAGCTCCGACCAGGCACTCCAGTTCCAAGGGTAGCTATTAACAGACTCCACAAGAACTGTAAGAGCAAGACTCTTGCTGCCTTTGTCTTTGAGCACAAGGCCATACAAGTAGAGTCCAAAAGGATCAATAGTCCCATTCTTGCGAAGGGTTGATAACTCCCTCTCGAGAGAAACCAGTTCACCATTCACAATATCGCTCTTTCCTAGGGGCCCCACAAGTGTTATCTTTTGGTGCGGAATTGGCAATGTGGGTTGTCGGTCACTTCCGGTTCCTGGGTAGATGCTGTAACATCCCACATCGTCCAAGGGAATGATCCTTAAATGTATATTCTCATCCTTACCTAGCACGAGGCATTTTGGGAGCTCACTGGCTTCGGGTTCCATCGGAACTCCGAAGTTAAGCGAGTAGCGCACGAGAGCACTCCCATGATGGGTGACCCACTAGGAAGTTGCTTGTGAGTTCCCAGAAACAAAAACATGAGGGCGTGGTCGAGGCCCAAAGTGGACAATATCGTGTTACGGTGGTGAAGCGGGCCCAGGATGTGGTGGACCCCTGGCCGGGATGTGACAATTTGGTATCAGAGCCTAAACCTGGTCGTGGTGTGCCAACGAGGATGTCGGATCCCTAAGGGGGGTGGATTATAACATCCCACATCGCCTAGTGGAATGATCCTTAAATGTATATTTTCATCCCTACCTAGCACGAGACCTTTTGGAAGCTCACTGGCTTAGGGTTCCATCGGAACTTCGAAGTTAAGCGAGTAGCGCACGAGAGCATTCCCATGATGGGTGACCCACTGGGAAGTTGCTCGTGAGTTCTCAGAAACAAAACCGTGAGGGCGTGGTCGGAGCCCAAAACGGACAATATTGTGCTACGGTGGTGGAGAGGGCTCGGGATGTGGTGGACCCTGGGTCAGGATGTGACAGATGCAACTGGTCATCTATTACCCATTTGGTGGCTGGATAAGATTGGGCCTTAAGATAGAATTGGATTGGCATGAATTGATTAGGAAGGACTTGCAACTCGTTTATATGGATAGGTTAAATAATTTACTCTATTGTGGATTCATAATTCATGCGGTTCACCTCACATTTTGACACAACATACTAAACTCCAATCCCTTTTAATTGGTCACAACCTATCCCAACCAGTCCACCAAACAGCCCCTAAAGGTTTTCTCTACTAGCCATTTTTTAGCCTCTTTTGTTTGGGTTTATGTGGAGGACTTTACCTTTTGAGTTAAAAACCGTTTATGATTTTTCATTTAGGTACTATTTTGTAATTGCAACAGTAAAAAACCATTACTCATGCTTTATTTGCATAAGTGACGTCTTTTTTTATATGTGATGGTTCTTTCTGGGGTTTTGTAAGGTGTAATTCGTCCGTTTGGACTTCGTTTTTAATAAATAAGGTCATTTTGGTTCCGGTCCTTAATCAACCTAATTGTTAGACTGAAACCTTGTTTGTTTAAATATTTTTGATCGAGGTCCTTAACATCATTTAAAAGATTTAGCTCATGCATTTATGCATTTAATGTCCCACAAATTATGAAGTTTAAACAAATTCAAATAATATTTTTAAAATATAATAAATACTTAAAAATAAATATTAGAGTAATATTGTTCTTCACTAATTATAGCAAGCAAATAATGTACCCATATAAAAAAGCCGCCATCCAAATAATGTACTCATATAAATATTATAGTAAGCAAATAATGTACCCATATAAATATTATAGCAAGCAAATAATGTACCCATACAAAATTATAGCAAGCAAATAATGTACCCATATAAATATTAGAGTAATATTATTCTCTACCTTTGACCACAAAAAAAAAGTCTCCATCCAAATAGAGGGCCAAAAGAAAAATCCATTAAAATGTAGTAGTATTTTCCTGTTCTCTGCACTGATGGCATTTCACCTTGTCCTTCTTCATTCCCTATTCTATTCACAAAGAATACAGCATAAAAACTCACGGGCAGACAAACAAAACCTAAGCAAAAGTACAATACTTGCAAATATTTCACTCGAAACCAGTATATGGTTTGTGCGTGCATAAATTGAGGTACGGACGGCTTTCGTGAGGAGCAAGTGCCTTTCCGTTCACAAGCAACTGTTCTATGAAATCCACATGTAATGATTTGAACTCGTACAACTGCCGATAACATGGGAACCAGAAAACAAAATTAAGGGAAAATTAGACAGTGTTGTGCAAAGAAGGCCTACTGACGCTCCGATTAGAAGATGCGACTATGAGACAGAGGTTCAGGGCCGAAGGGGTAGAGGAAGACCTAGGAAAACTTTGGAAGAGACTCTAAGAAAAGACTTAGAGTACTTGGATCTAACGAAGGACATGACTCAGGATCGAGCACAATGGCGTTCTAAGATTCATATAGCCGATCCCACTCAGTGACTTGGATTTTCCAAGTCTCCAACCGAGAAGTTTTCCTCACTCGGGAAATTAAGGGAACACTACCCCAACCTACATGCTCCACTCATAAAGCTTCAACATACAAGCTTCAACAAAAGAAAATTCAAAGAACTTAGCGAAGAAGGCTTTGGTGTATTTAACACAATACATTGAAATGAAGGAAAGCTTATTTATTGATATCCCCGATAAGCTACAAATATGTACATATACATGAGTCAAAATAAACACACAAGAGGGAGCCTTCACAAAGGTTGCTTAGGAGAAGTCTCAGCAGTCGGTAGAGCCCCAGAAAGAGAAGGCACCGGAGGGGGATCATTTGGAGCCTCAGTACTGGACAGAACCCTAGAAGGAGGAGGCATCAGAGGTTGATCATTCGGAGCTTCATTACGCGGTACAGCCCCATAAGACGAAGGCAATAAATGCCTTTGGAACAAACCCACAAATCTCTGATGATCAAGTAAAACCTGACCATCAGTTTCCTTCATCTGGTCAAGCTTCCTCTTCATGTTTGTAGCATAGTCATGTGCGAGCCGGTGCAACTGTTTATTCTCATGCTTGAGCCCTCTAATCTCCTGTTTGAGACTCATCACTTCAGCCGCCAATGATTCAACTTGGCGGGTTCGAGCAAATAGGCGTTGGGCCATATTAGACACAGAACCTGCACACTGAACACTGAGAGCCAGCGAATCCTTAACAGCTAACTCATCAGACCGTTTTGGAAAGTAGTCTGTTATCTTTGGGAGTGAGAAGGTTCCTAGCCACCACCGCAGCGGTCATATCATTCTTCATCACGGAATCCCCAACGGTAAGAGGACCAGTAGGGGAGACGAAGAAGATGGGCGCCATATGTTGTCTGGAGAAGGCGGGGGCTGCCTCTTCAACAAGGTTCAAGTCGAAACGATGGTCGGAGGGGCCAGACATTTTCAAAGGTGTTGAAGAGAGAAGAGGTCGGACAAATCAAGATCTTAGAAGTGTAAGAATGAAGCTTCTACTGGTGGAGATTCAAGTGTGCTTTGGAACTTAATGCCAGCCCCTATAAAAATCTGCACTCGACGGAGCTTCAGAAATCGAAGAGGCGCCTGCTCAAAAATCGAAGAGGCGTTTGCTTTCTCAAAAGCTGGGCTGCTTAGAGATCACGAGGGTTGATCTCAGAAATCGAAGAGGCGTTTGCTTTCTCAAAAGTTGGGCTGCTCAAAGACCACGAAGGCCGATCTCAGAAATCGAAGAGGCGCTCGCTTTCTCAAAAGCTGAGCTCCCCAGAGACCACGAGGGCCGATCTCAGAAATCGAAGAGGCACCTACTTTTCCAGCCTTGTCAGCACCTGTCACACGCGCACACTCAGCTTTGCGGAAATTATGGGCATTCTGTCGAAGACTTCTGGGGAAGTAGAAAACACATGAATCTTACTGTTCAATCACCCACTTCCCACACGCAACAATAGCTCATGGGTACCACAGATAACTTTGCCAAAAGTTCTCTGCCAAAGTTGAGCACGTGAAGCTTGCAGCTCCCACTACATCGCTCTGACCAAGAAGGGTAAAAGAATAGCAAAGAAACAGCACTAACAAAGTTTAGACCCATAAAATTTTTGAAGGTCTAGCTACCATATTATTACCCACAAGGGTAAAGGAACAGTACCACTGCTGGATAATTGGAAAGTCCCTGTGTGTCAACCTCTGTGCTTCGTGGCAAGGTAGACTAGCAAACATGCCCAACCTTTACTCACATTCGAGAAAACACTCCCAATAAGATTGCTTGCTCCAAAATCGAAGAGGCACCGTCCTCCGAATCTCGAGAGCCAGACTCCCAACATGACTACTTTCTTAAAAATCGAAGAAAGGGTAAAGGAACAGTACCATTGCTGGATAATTGGAAAGTCCCTGTGTGTCAACCTCTGTGCTTCGTGGCAAGGTAGACTAGCAAACATGCCCAACCTTTACTCACATTCGAGAAAACACTCCCAACAAGATTGCTTGCTCCAAAATCGAAGAGGCACCGCCCTCCGAATCTCGAGAGTCAGACTCCCAACATGATTACTTTCTCAAAAATCGAAGAGACACTGCTCCCCGAATCTTCGAGAGCCAGACCCTCAGCATGATTGCTTTCTCAAAAATCGATGAGGCATCGTTCTCCGAATCAATCGAAGAGGCGCTCTCTTTCTCGAAAGCTGGGCTGCTCAGAGACCACGAGGGCCGATCTCAGAAATCGAAGAGGCACCTACTATTCTAGCCTTGTCAGCACCTGTCACACGCACACTCAGCTTTCCAGAAATTATGGGCATTCTGTCGAAGACTTCTGGTGAAGTAGAAAGCACATGAATCTTATTGTTCAATCACCCACTTCCCACACGCAACAATAGCTCATGGGTACCACAGATAACTTTGCCAAAGTTCTCTGCCAAAGTTGAGCACGTGAAGCTTGCAGCTCCCACTACATCGCTCTGACCAAGAAAGGTAAAAGAATAGCAAAGAAACAGAACTAACAAAGTTTAGACACATAAATTTTGAAGGTCTAGCTACCATATTATTACCCACAAGGGTAAAGGAACAGTATCATTGCTCGATAATTGGAAAGTTCCTGTGTGTCAACCTCTGTGCTTCGTGGCAAGGTAGACTAGCAAACATGCCCAACCTTTACTCACATTCGAGAAAACACTCCCAACAAGATTGCTTGCTCCAAAATCGAAGAGGCACCGTCCTCCGAATCTCGAGAGCCAGACCCCCAACATGACTACTTTCTCAAAAGCGAAGAGAGGGTAAAGGAACAGTACCATTGCTAGATAATTGGAAAGTCCCTGTGTGTCAACCTTTGTGCTTCGGGGCAAGGTAGACTAGCAAACATGCCCAACCTTTACTCACATTCGAGACAACACTCCCAACAGGATTGCTTGCTCCAAAATCGAAGAGGCACCGCCCTCCGAATCTCGAGAGCCAGACTCCCAACATGATTACTTCCTCAAAAATCGAAGAGACACTGCTCTCCGAATCTCGAGAGCCAGACCCCCAGCATGATTGCTTTCTCAAAAATCGAAGAGGCATCGTTCTCCGAATCTCGAGAGCCAGATACCACAGACCACTTTTTCAAAGTGCTCTGACAGAGCTAAAACATGTGAAACTGGCAGCTCTCACTACCGTGCTATGACCAAGCAGGGTAAATGAATAGCATTACTACTTGTTGTTAGGGAGACTCCTATATATGTCGACCTCCATCCCCAACGGACAGGCAGACCTGCAAAAATGCTCAACCCTTCATCATATCTGAGAGGGCACTCCCAACGAAGCCTTTCGAAATATTCAGCTTTCTTTCCCCCCGATAATACCTCTGCAAACAAGCTATACTAGAGCAAGAATATCTCATATCATCAGGGTTAAAAGCAAGAGTATCCCATATCATGCTTTTTCCCTGTCTTTTCCTTTGGCCTTGTTTTTTTACCTGCAAGACAAGGAGAAAGAGAGCAATTAGTCAGCACTTGGAATCAAGCTTCCAGCCAGGAACTGACTGCCTGGAACCCCTTACCTGATTACTTACCTGGCATTGCTCTCGAGTACTCATCTTCAACATCTTATGTTTCCAGGGAAGATTCCGCATCTGTTTGAGGAACAGATAGGGCAAGTGCGAAGGATATAAGGAAGCATGTGGAGACAAGCGTAACAGCACACGTGCCGATACATCCATTACTCTGTCAAAAGCACAAGTATCCCATATCAGCAGGGTAGAACGTACTCTAGATTTGATGGACTTGTTTTGACCCTCAAATTCTTCAGTCGGCCTTATACTCTGGACGAAACCAGAAAACCCTCCAGCTCAGTTCAAGAATAAGCCTGTGGAAAGTTACTTCTTCAAAAGCAAAAGTATCTCATATCATCTCTTCTCATTTTTCTTCTCTTTATCCTTCATGCTGCTGCAAGATGGGGAGAAGGTGAACAATCAGTCGGAGCTCTGATTGCTTACCTTGTCTGTCACCTCTTTCAGCAGACCCCCTAGCTCAGCGACTTGGGGGACTCTTACTACATGGTTTGTATCGCGCTTGACCAAGCTTGAAACTACAAGTAAGCTTCAAGTGAAATTGATACATTACCTTGTGCATCTCCACCAGTTAAAGATACCACCCCTGGATGGAGGAAGAGTACTTCTAGAAAAGATGCCACATCTACCTATGAGACAGATAAGGCAAGTCAAGACGACACCACACTCCGATACTTAGAAGTTTCATGATTACGAGATCATTCTCCCACAATATTTCCTAATGTCATTTGTACTAAATCATTCACTTGTACTCACTAAAGGAGAGCTTGAACCTATGTACTTGTGTAAACCCTTCACAATTAATGAGAACTCTTCTATTCCGTGGACGTAGCCAATCTGGGTGAACCACGTACATCTTGTGTTTGCTTTCCTATCTCTATCCATTTATATACTTATCCACACTAATGATCGGAGCAATCTAGCGAAGATCACAAAAAGCGACCGTTTTCGCTACCTAGGATCTATCTTGCAAGAGAACGGAGAATTAGATGGAGATCTCAACCATAGAATACGAGCTGGATGGATGAAGTGTAAGAGTGCATCCGGCGTGTTGTGTGACCGTGGTAGGCCACTGAAGCTCAAGGGAAAATTTTATAGGACGGCAATAAGGCCAGCGATGTTGTATGGCACAGAATGTTGGGCGGTGAAGCATCAACACGTACACAAAATGGGTGTAGCGGAGATGAGGATGCTTTGTGGAATGTGTGGGCACACGAGAAAGGATAAGATTGGGAATGAGGATATCCGAGGTAAAGTAGGAGTAGCCGAAATTGTAGGAAAGATGAGAGAAAATCGGCTCCGGTGATTTGGACATGTGCAAAGAAGGCCGACTGACGCTCCGGTTCGAAGATGTGACTACGGGACAGAGGTTCAGGGCCGAAGGGGTAGAGGAAGACCTAGGAAAACTTTGGAAGAGACTCTAAGAAAAAATTTAGAGTACTTGGATCTAACGGAGGACATGACACAAAACCGAGCGCAATGGCGTTCTAGGATTCATATAGCCGACCCCACTTAGTGGGAAAAGGCTTTGTTGTTGTTGTTGTTGTTGTTGAGTACCTTTTCTTACCAAGAAAAGTTGAAATGCCGATGAAAAGGTTCCAGTATTGTTAGCTGATCTCCTTCTTTGTTCTGTGAGAACAAGGTACAGTTTGACCCTTAAGCATTTGAATTGGTGAGAGACGATAACATATTTGCTCAATACAAATGAAGGTCAAACCAATCCGTATTTGGGATGTAAGAAAGTATGTGGTTTCTATTTCTCCTTTTATTCTTACGCTGCTAAGTCTTGCGGAATCATATTGAATGCCATAAACTGACACGACGAAGCATATTTGATTTGAATCGCATGCCACGTAGTACCTAACAAGGGAGATGAAAGGATAAAATAGTCAAGAACAAAGCAAAAGCACTGACAATTCAAATGCACTCACAGTGGATGTAAAAGAAAGGTGCTTCGAGAGGACTTACAGTGGAGCAACATTGTCATGCTTAATAAAGAATAGCACTTTTCCCACTAGTGCTACTGATTTGTTCAGTTCAGACCCTCTGATAGAATATCTACAGTAGCTCTTCGATATGAGGAGTTCACTAATCGAAGATGCAAACAAAGAAAATTAGTATATTCCCGTGGGAAAGAAAGGGCAATGAGCCAGGCTCAATGAAAATTACAAATCACAATAAACCAAAATGCATGAAAGAGTAATGAAGCGTACAGTTTACAGCAGCCAGAGATGATCCTAATGACAAAAGTCGTTTAGATCTAGCATGCCCCTGTAAAACAGAAATTATATAAGGTCAAGAACCGACATATATCATGTTGATCTAAAAACTGTTTGCCGTAGAATATCCTTAACATATTATTTAAGTGTGCTTAGTCCCCAGTTTCCAACTTAATCTCAACATTGAAGGCACCCAAATAACCCAATCTTATAATTGTGCAAAACATGAGATATTGAGCAGTACTAAGGACCCAATCAGGTGGCAGCATGTCTTTCTAAGATTCATGCAACTTAAGTTACTTTATACAAACTTAACAAAAACAGAAATAGAAAACAATTTATCATGGGGTGTGCTATCCACACACATTTTTTTACTTCTCACACACCCATTATTAATTTATGTCCGTTGATCTTCTTCATTTCATCTGATCCGACGGTCGAAAATTAGAAGGGTGTGTGAGAAGTAAAAAGGGGTGTGTGGATATCACACCCCTTTATCATTGCTGTTTCCTATTCTCTCCACTTGTATTAGCACAACTCCATCTTTAACCTATATAAACGCTGACTTATAGAGACAAAGACTGACAAATCATCATTGAGAAATTGAGAAACTTGTGAGTAATTTCAGACAAAACACAAGGAAAACTGAGCTTACAGTAGCACAGTTAAAATATAGGTCTGGATTGGACTGCATTCTTTCATCCTTTTCCTGATACGCAACATAAAACATTAGAGCATCTTCTAACCGCAGAAGATCCATACTTACAAGAAATACAACATATATACAAATGAATAGCTCCCCTAAACATGATCGTTGAGACACCCATAACCACAGAAGATCCATCAGCAGGAAACAGATTACTTTACGCACTCATAGCATTTTGGTATGCCTTCAAAGATTGCAGAAGTTTCGAATGGTCCCAAGTTCCAGTCACAAAGAAACTTGCAAGACATGCATCTCCAGTCACAAACGTATCATCAAGCAGTCAAACTAAGCCAACCATAAGCACGCTAGCAAACATCCAAGGTAAATGGCAAACCGAACTAAGTGTTACATGCTATACAACTTATCAAGTATAAATCTTACTCAAAACCGAAGAATATAGAACTTTTTTAGATCTTACACCATGAATTCCCATCCTTGACATCAAGAGTTATGGCTTCCTTGGCATGTTGAATGCTTTCATCAACAAGTTCTGCCTCATTGTCGGTACCTTGTAAAATGATGAAAATTATGTAAGCATAATGACGCACACATCATGAAAAACAACAGGCAAAACAAGTTGAGAACAAGTTGAGAGATAAAAAGTTGCCTTGAGCCATTTTGTAAGTCTAATGAGAGCTACACACTTGTTTAGCACGTGCATGAGGGATTGAGATCATAAGAGTTTGTATGACAATACTTGTTGGTTATTAAGGAATGTATAAAGACTGAAATATAATCTAAAGAAGTCCCGATGCAATTGGTATTAACCAATATGATATGGATGCTTTGGATATTAGTGATAAGGGTTATCAGACTGATGACTTTGATAAGGATTACATGATGGGAAGTATCCTTATCAAAGACCACTGTTTAAGTTATAAGTAAAGGGTCCCTAGTCCCTACTCTCACACAATACACGCAAACAGAAAATATCAAGCCCCATTGATTGACAGTGCATACAGATAGTGTTGAGAGGAGAAGAACCTTTATTTTTCTGCTGCAATGTCTTCTCAAGGTTAGTGGTTGATTGGATATGTTGAGTTCTTTAGTTTCCGCTATATTTAATCTAACACATTTTTCTTTCAAGCATCGAAAGTTGACAGTATCTGCTTGTTTGGACCCTGCATCCAAACACAATATACGTATCAATCATAAAGTTTACAGTACAATGAATCGAGAGGTCACTGGAATAAAACCACAAAAAGCAATCAGGAACTGAACCGAAAACATTACAAACATGCTCAACTACAGGAAGCCACAATGCATTGTTTCTTACAGCTTTTGAGAGATGATCCTCTGCTTCTTTTCTATAATCTGGCAACACATCCAGTATATTTGTATTTCGCACGTTGGGCCGGAAGTTTTCTTTGCTCTGGTATAAGACACAACGTTGGACACTTGAACTAAATGAGATACAAATACAACATAATAACAAAGGAATTAGCAGTGACAGTGATTCGAGAACCATTGTAGGCATTATCATTACAGAAAACAACACTTCTATATAGTGGGAGATTTCGATTCCATCAACTGTTTCTCAAATTTTAAGCATATATGAACCAATGTAGCCCAAAAATGGAACTTCGAAGCTGAAACGAGCATATCAACGAAAACCCACATAAGAGGAACGCACAAATCAGGTTTACAATCATGGGGCAGCTTCAAATGGTATTCACAGAGACTAAAACGAAATGGGTAAATGGAAAAATTACCAGAAGGAATGAAATCGAGGAGTGTTAGAATCCCAATTGTCCAACATCGAATAGAGGGAACGAGAACAAGCAATTTATATAAAATAACATTGAGGTTTTTTTTTTAATTTTGGAAGCAAGATATATCAATATCCGGGCAAAGATGCCAGAGGTTACAGGAAGGCCCACACAAAGGCAAACAGCCAACAACACAGACTAGAAAAAGTAGTATAAGGAGGTTACAAGAAATCCGGAAGCCGCACCAAGTGCTAAAGCGTCCCTCCTCACACTACTACAAAAAACTAATGAGGACAAGGAAGACCATCGTTACACAACACATGAACAAGGGAAGATGGGGGTCTGTGGACCCAAATAAGATCACATACTTCCTTACAACGCCGCGAAGCCAAAAGATCCGTTGCCGAATGGGCTGATCTTGGAACCCAAGACCAGGTGCACTCTTGAAAGGTCCCCCCCCCCCCAATTACTGCATTTCGCAATAAAAGGAAAGGCTTCCCAACTGCCATTCCTTGTTGAATTCTTTAAGCAGGAAATAGAATCAGAAGAATCAGACTCAACCACAATCAAACGCCACCCTCTACTGATCCCCAGGTTGCATCCGTGCATAATGGCCATTGCTTCCACCATTGCCACGCTTGTGGCTTTCACTTTATACCTGCAAGCCGCCAAGAACTTTCCATCCGCATCCCTGGCCACAACTCCCGTAAAGCTCATCCCGTCCGATGCAACCCAACTGCCATCAACGTTCACCTTTACGAATCCAGAACTCGGTGGAGCCCAACTGACCACTCCACCAGAAACCTGCGGACAGACCACAAGGGGACGGGGCAGGTTTGATTTTGCTTCCCTGAAGGCAGAAACCGAAAAACAGATAGCAGCTATAACTTGAGGAGGGTAGATGTGTTGTTTGTTGAACTGAAAGTTACACCTTGCTTTCCAAATATGCCAGCATGTAAATGCAATATAAGAAAACAAGTGATTTCTTGCCTCATTCGCACCATTCGCTAAATCAAACATTTGAAGCAGCCAACAGGCCCAAGTTGTTATCTCATTTTGGTTTATTCGTAAATTCAAAGAACCCCCAAACCAAACCACTTCCACCCACGGGCATTCAAGGAATAGGTGAATGATGGTCTCATTCCTCATTTGGCAGATGGGGCATAGAGAAGTTGTGGAGGAGTGGCGTTGATATAGATTAGCCATAGTTGCAATCGCCGCGTGCAGGGTTTTCCACATGAAACATCGAATTTTTTGGGGAGCCTCCAGCTGCCAGATACACTTCCACAGAGCCCCGGGAACAGAAGCAGAAGATTGAGAGTTAAGGCTCCTTTGGGGCAGAAGACTTTGATGCGCCCAATGATAGCCAGATTTGACCGAATACATACCTCTCTTCTCAAAAGGCCACACGAGCCTATCCATTAACGTTGGTTCTCCAAGATGTGTCTCCAAGATCGCATCAAACTCCTCCAACTCCAAGAAAGGTTTCAGTAAATCAATATCCCACTCCTTCGTGACCGGGCAAGTTAAAGAGCTAACCATTAAGTTTCTTGACACCTGCACCGAGCCCAATGGGGATGGTTTTCCTACTGGGATAGTCGGAAGCCATCTATCGATCCAGACTCGAACATGATTGCCGTTCATAATTTGCCAGTGAGCACCCTCCTTGAGAATATTTCTTCCCACAAGAAGACTCGACCACGCCCAAGAAGCTCTTCCTCCCCGCTTAGCATCCAGGAAAGAGCAATTCAGAAAGTAGCGGGCTTTAAGCACCTTCGCCCATAAAGACATCGGCTCCATTAACAGGTGCCAACATTGCTTCGCTAACAGGGCTTCGTTGAACGATTCAAAGTTCCTTAGTCCCAAACCCCCCACCTCTTTTGGTCGACCCAACTTCTCTCGTGATAACCAGTGGATCTTATTCGCACCCTCGGTTTGTCCCCACCAAAAATTGGTGATCATGGCATCCATTTCGCTGCACAGAGTCGTGGGAAATTTAAACAGATTCATTGGGTAAGCTGGAATGGCTTGTGCCACCGCCTTAATGAGAACTTCTCTCCCTGCTTGTGAAAGACTTGCTTTCTTCCATCCTTGAAGCTTGCCCAACAACTTTCCTTTGACATAGGCGAGCCCACATTTCTTTGACCACCCCCAGATAGCCGGAACACCAAGGTATAAGCCCGACTCTCCAACTCTCACCATACCGAGGATAACCGTCAACCTTTGGGCAAAAGTAACAGGAACATTTGCACCAAAGTAGACACTCAACTTTTCCTTATTAACTTGTTGTCCCGAAGCCAAGCAGTAATCATCAATCAGCATAATTAATTGTCTACAATTGTCCTCTTCCGCCTTGAGGAAAATAAGAGTGTCATCAGCAAAGAGAATATGGGAAATTGTCGAACCCGATGAGCTCATTTGAATTCCATTAATCTGTTTCCTCTCACAACCTTTCTGAATAAGAATCGAGAGAACCTCACTAACCAAAAGGAAAAGATAAGGAGATAGCGGGTCTCCCTGTCGAAGCCCACGGGAAAGAACGAATTTCTGTCCAGGATGACCATTAAGGAGAATAGCGAAATTCACCGTCGAGATACAGCCCAAGATTAAGGTCCTCCATGTACTATCAAACCCCATTTTTTCCATCACTGCTAATAAGAAGTCCCACTTAACCCTATCGTAGGCTTTGTGCATATCCAACTTGACGCACAACTTAAACTTGTGTCTCGCTTTCCTAGATTTTAGGAAATGGAACAACTCGTGTGCAATGCCAATATTGTCTTGAATCAATCTGCCAGCTACAAAGGCATTTTGGGTTAGAGAAATTAAAGCCGGCATAAATTGCTTAAGACGATTGGCCAAAACCTTGGAAAGAACCTTATAAGAGTAGTTACACAAGCTTATAGGCCTAAACTGCAAAATAGAAACCGGGTTTTGAACTTTCGGAATTAGCACTAAATGAGTAGCATTGATACGCCTTGGGTCTACATGCCCATGCATCGTCGCTCCAATAATCTCGTTGACATCCGCCGCAGGAATATCCCAATGGGCCTGGTAGAATATTCCGGGGAATCCGTCTGGTCCAGGGGCCTTCAAACCCCCAATTTGCATAGCTGCAATCTTCAACTTATCCGTCGAGACCCGATTCGAGAGGGCTTCATTCATTTCATCTGAAACCATATGATTGACGCAGCTAAGTAGATCTCCCCACTCTCGCTGTCCCGACAAAGTGAATAGATTCACGAAGTGCTCATCGACAAGCCTCCTCACCTGTGTTGGATTCACCTCCCAGTTTCCATTGTTGTTCTTTAAGGAAACCACACTATTTCTTCTTCTTCTATGCATGGTGGATTGGTGAAAAAACTTCATGTTGGCGTCCCCTTCCTTCAACCATTGAACACGAGATCGCTGCTACCAGTAACATTCCTCATGTTTGCATATTTTGTCTAGTTCAACTTCTAGAGCCTCAATTTCTTTAGAATGCCCTCTCCAATCTTGTTGCAGAACACCCAGCTGGTCCGCCATTTTCTTTATCTGCCTACTGCGATTTTTTAACTTTCCATTACTCCAGTTAATCAGAGCTGCACGGAAAAAGTTAATCTTGGAATTCGATCGCTCAAGGGGATTCCCATCTCTATCAACATTCCACGCTCCACGCACAATATCTCTGCACTCCTCTTCCTTTGTCCAAAAAGCTTCAAAACGAAACAATTTTTTTCGCTTTTCAGGTTGAAACCCAAACTTCACCAACACTGGACTATGATCGGATCCCCTCCAGGTACCATTAGTGACCATAGAATTTGGCCAAGAGGACAGCCAGCTCGCATTCACCAAACTCCTGTCAAGGCGAGCCTCCACCAACTGACCATTGCGAATCCCCCTCCAGGTGTAATTTTTCCCATTGAAACCGAGATCCATAATTTCCACCTTATTCATGAATTCCTCTAGGTATCTTGGACTATTGTAACAAAAAGCAGCACCTCCCGCTTTCTCATGATCCCATAAAACTTCATTAAAGTCTCCTTCACAAATCCACGGAATTCGATCCGGGCTAAAATTTTGAATCATACCCCTCCAGAACTCCTCATTCTCCGCTCGATACAACGTGCCGTAAACCCCTGTGAACCGGAACATAGTATGCGATTCTGCAATACTGCACCGGGCATCAATGTAATGTTTAGAGGAATCCATCACATCTACCTGGATCAAATCATCCCACCAAAGACTCAAACCTCCAGCATTACCAACCGGAGCCACATCGAAACCATTAAAATATCCCATACGCCTTATCACCCTTGTAATTCTATGATCTTTCATCTTTGTTTCATATAGAAAGATCATAGAGGGTCTGTGCTCCCTTATTTGCCCATTAAGGGCCCGAACTACCGTGTCCGACCCTAGACCACGGCAATTCCAAAACAGGTGTATCATGGCGATCTTGTGGCTGTTGAAGGCCAGCCGCCACCGCCTTGGGATGAAGATCCCTCATTCTCATCCATTTTTGATTTTTTGTAATAAAATTTCACACCTGATCGATTGAGCAGGTGATCAAGTGGAAATAGTATCGGTGTTATTGGAGTGGGGTCTTTGACTCGTTTACCTGAAATTTAACATGGTATCAGACCCAAGGATGGGCCCGTGCCACATGAATGGGTGGACTCCCTTAGCCCTACTCAAATGGGTGAGCCCAAACATGGTTCCACCTAGCAAGTAGGGGTTACACGTGCGAGGGAAGTGTTGGAATCCCAATTGTCCCATACCAGACCGAGTGCGCAAATGGGTAAGCCCAGACATGGCTCCACCTAGCATGTAGGGGTCGCACGTGCGGAGGGAAGTGTTGGAATCCCAATTGTCCCACATCAGATAGAGTGCGCAAATGGGTGAGCCCAGACATGGCTTCACCTAGGCATGTAGGGGTGGACTCCCTTGGCCCTGCGCAAATGGGTGAGCCCAGACATGGCTCCACCTAGCAAGTAGGGGTCGCACGTGCGGGGGAAGTGTTGGAATCCCAATTGTCCCATAT